CCCTGCCGTGGGCCCCAGCCCCTTTCCGTGGGAGCCCCTCGGAGCAGTTTGGCCAAAAGGTGACAACTAGGGCCCAAAGCGCAGTCCCACGTTTGTCACGTGCTCTTGGAATTCCTGCCTCTCCAGGTGCGGTTTTGTGGGGGCAGCACTGGCCCAGAGAGGCTCAACGGGTTGGACGGGTAAGGAGATGGAATGGGACAAAAGGAGATTTGGGGGACGGAGTGAAGAGATCTCCACAGATCTCCTAACCATTCCCACCGTCCACCAACTTGGAAACTGCCTTGGCTAGCCTAGGAGAGACCCCTTAGAAGGCCTGTGTATGCAACTGTGTGTGACCAAAGCCCACAGAAGAAAGTGTTTGAGAGGGGCAGAGGGCTCAATCCATTGCCACAAAAAGGCCACAGATTTCTACACACATGCACATAAATGAAGCCTGCCTTTAGGGTCCAGCAGAGGCCAGAGCTTCTCCTCAGGCTCACTGGCCCCATTCTCTGTTAGGGCTTCAGGCTTACCTCAACAGCTGCTTCTTAGGAAAGGATGAGGCCAGATGAGTCTTAAAGCTTCCTCAGAGCTCAAAGATGTTTTCCTTTAAGCTGGAAACAAAGCCTAAAAGAATGAAATGGTAAGTGATGGAATTTCAAGAAGAGGGGATATTCCTATATTAGGAAGGAGAACACAGTGCCAACTCTGAAGACTGACCTGGGATCTGAATTAGACAAACAGCCCACAGTCTTGACCACATTGTTCAGCCTTGGAGGCTAATAGTCAAAGAATTTTGCCTTTGACTCTGGGAGGGGAACACAGTGCTGTAAGGGAAGAGGCGCAGGCATGCCACCTTGTTTCCCTTCCAGAGCTGGAAGGCTCACCTGGCAGCTGACAAGCAAGATGTAATACTAGTCTACACTGTGAAATTATTACCTCAATCAGCCTTATCATGGAGTCCTCCGGGCCAAGGCTCATTTCACCGATGCCTGGGAGTAGAGTTACCTTGTCTTCCTCTGGGAAGGGAAGGTAGTGAGAGCACCAGGCATTTCTGTCAAGGCTCTCTTTCCTCCCCAGCACTCCATTGCCCTCAGCAACTTCTGGACTAAAGTCTGTAAACAGCTGAGTTTCAATGGCTCATCTTCTCCCCACTTCACTTTCTTCTCCACAAAGCATACCCAGGGGAGAAAGGCAGACCTTCAAAGGCTGGTTTAAGTATTGTGGCTTTTCTGCTAACCACCTAGTATATATACATCATTTGATTTTTAAAACAGTTTTATTGAGATGTCATTGACACAAAAATTGTTTATATTTAAAGTGTACAACTGATATTTTATATACACTGTGAAATTATTACCTCAGTCGAGCTAATTAACATATATCACCTCTATAGAGTTATTTTATGTGTGTGTGTACATGCATGTGTACATCATTGATTTTTTTAAATTCCTGCCTCCTTCCCTGTAAGGTCCGTAGCATGAGAAATATGCCCATCTTACAGATGCAGAATTGTACTCAGACTGGCCATACCATTCGTCAATGACTGCTGGGCTTTCTGACTTCAAATCTCATATTCTACTACATCATGCTGCCTTTCTCTCTGTCTTTATTTCACATTAATTTAGCAAGTCTTCATTAAGTACTCATCGTGTGCATTAATACTGGGAATGAGGCAAGGATGAAAGGGGCATGGTCCCTGTGCCCCAGAACTGAAAAGTAATAGAAGAATAAGAGTAGTGTGTCCATAGTGTGTGATTGCCATGGTTGAAGTGCTACAGAAAGAAAGACTTCCAATGAGGGATGAGGAGGAATAGATGTGAAGACTTCACAGAGGAGAAAAACCATCTGAGTTTGGTCTTAGGAGAATGAGTAGGAGTTTGCTGGGCAAAGATGGGGAGAAAGATATTGCAGGTAATGTCATGAGCAAAAGTGCAGGGGTGGGAAGGCATGTAGCATGACTGGAGCATAAGGTGTGTCTACAGCAGTAATGGGAAATACAACCAGAAAAGCAGGTTAGAATCAGATGTTGGAGGGTCGGGTTAAGGAGTATGGACTTTACTTGGTATGCAAGAGTAGCTGTGGGAGTTTTTTGAGGGGGAAGTGCTCTGATTAAAGCAATTCAGCAGGAATAATTGTCACCTGGAAGCAGGGTAGGATGACTAGAGAGGAGGAAGACTGGAGAGGGTTGGCAGGACCAGTTAGGAACCTATTGCACTATTCCTTGTGACAGTTGAGGACACCTGAAATAGACTGGTGACAGTGGGAGTAAAGAAGATTTGATGCGTGGGAGAGGAAGAAGAGATAGTTATCGAGCTAGATTTGCTAATATTTTTTTTCCCTTGCAAGATTTTCTTGGCCGGTGAGAGGACAATGGGGCGGGGCGGGGGGGGGCAGGGGACAAAGAAAATATTATTTTCTTTCTTGAAACTAGAAGGTAGTATTTCAGCGAATGACTAGGCATAGGTAGAAAGCAAAATGGTTGATTAATCATGGTGCCATCCTTCCTACATAAAGAAGATACTTTTGCTCCATCATTATACTGATTCATCTGTACTCTTTCCTGACCATGAATTTGTAAAATAGTTGGCTGGGGGTAAAGCTTATGATCATGGATTTCAGCAAAACAAACATCCCAAATGTTCAGAGAATGGGGTGGTTAAATAATTTGTCCACAAACACAATTAATGACAGACCTGGAGCTTGAAACCAGGTCTTCTGGCTTCATAGTCCAGGACTCTGCCCACCATTGTGATGCTGAAATGTCTACTTGCTTGGGTTAATGATCAAAAGAGTCCGCTCAGGAGTGTCTATTAGGAGCTAGGTACTTGTAATAAATAAATAAAACCTAACACAAAAGATGGCTTTCAAATACATCAAATAGTAGACCCTCATCCAACTTTACACCACAACTGCTCGTCTAGCTGTATAAGCATTGGTTTGGATCCCTACAGCTCTGAAATTGTTTATAACCAACACCAACTCCTTATTGTGTAACGACTTCATGAGCTCGTGTTTGGCTGCTAACCTGTATTAGGTCAAAGTGTTAGCAGTTCTAACTACATATATCCAGGGTGTGTGTAATATTTGTGTAGCTGAAAAGAAGGGGTTACTGCTGTTCACCAGCTTGTGGGGGTGGGGGAGAGAAGAACATAAAGGGGAACACTGGTGCCCTGGTCAATCAGACAAGATCTTAAGATGTGGGGACCAGGATGACATTATCGATGACCTTTTAGGGTTGCCTGCCTTGACTCTGTGATTCTAAGGGGAACCATTAGTGGTCATTGTCTCCATGTCAGATAGTCAAAGTTTGAGAAGAAGGGACTTCCTTTGGTTTTTACTTTTTAAAATATTTTTATTGATTTCAGAGAGGAAGGGAGAGGGAGAAAGAGATACAAACATCAATGATGAGAGAGAATCATGGATCCGCTGCCTCCAGCATGCCCCCTACTGGGGATCGAGCCCACAAGCCAGGCATTTGCCTGACTGGGAATCGAACCGTGACCTCCTGGTTCATAGGTCGATGCTCAACCACTGAGCCACGCCAGCCAGGCTGGTTTTTTTCTTTTCATTTTGTGTATTTGATAGTAAGACATGACTTTATAAGGCAATCTGATATAAGACAGGGTTCTTCTTCCTAGTTCATCAAGTCATTCAGTCAACCAAAAGCTTATTTCCTCTCCTGTTACCCTTATCAGTCGTTTTTTCAGCAGGACTGTTGAACTTTCTTGTAATCTATGCTGAGTGTTAGCACAGTGTCTGTCACGTAGATATTCAATAAATGGGTAATGGATTAATTAATGCCATGGAAATGGCCAAGTGGGATAGGGAGTAAGGACGAGGCAATGAGAATGAATGGTGTTTCCTTTGGCATTTCGAACTCCATCTTCAGATTGTTCCAATTTGCTGCGGCCCACTCCTCCAGTCAAGCATTTTCATTTCCTCAATCTCCCCTTCCCCTTCTAAGGTTCCCCCCCCCCCAACTGGACTGGCCAGAGGACAGAGGAGTAAGAAACAAGGATGTGTGGCCCAGCTGGTGTTGCTCAGTGGTTGAGCATCGTCCCAAGCACCAAAAGGTCGCTGGCTTGATTCCTGGTCAGGGCACATGCCCAGGTTGTGGGCTTCATCCTCAGTAGGGTGTGTGCAGGAGGCAGCCTATTGATGTCTCTCTCATCAATGTTTCTATCTGTCTCTCCCTTTCCCTTCCTCTCTCTCTCTAAAATAAATAAAAACATTTAAACAGAAGAAACAAGGAAGTGTGCAGGGAGTGAAACTGAGGTAAATGGTCCATTGGTGATTGCCAGATTTAGTTACCTGCATCTTTAAAATGTAGCTGGTTAACTCAGCTGACTGTTTCAGGTGGTGCAGTTAAAGTACATTAACAAAATGAAGTCAAGATTTTCCTACAGCTTGAAGGAGATGTTTGTTTGTTTTATCAATGAGTGTTTACTTGGGAGCAAGGAGCCATCTTAGAACCCCTTAAATAACTGCACCTAAACACCCACTCATCTTATTTAGGGCCCTGGTTTTCTGCCAAACTGGAGGAGTAGGAAAGGCACCACTTCATTGGAAGTTTGAAAGCCAAAGCACTAGGGATGTTCTACAATACATTTATTTTATCCTAGCTCTGTTCACTTTTCTTTTATTTAAACCCTTACTATCTCTCTCCCTCTCTCCTTCCCCACTGTGGCAGAAATCTTTCCCCCCCTAATTTTCAAGACCTTTATTATTTTATCCTGATCAGCAAGATGGAGTGAAATTCCTTTGTTCTTGACCAAGAAACATGTGTCATATAAAAGTCCCCTTATAACAACTTCTGCTGAATAGTCCCTCATGCCTGGGGATGTGCTCCTTCCAAAAAGAGGAACTGTAACAAAATGGCTTTCTATTTTGCATTTGGAAAAGCCCACCCAAAGCATTTTTACTGCATTGTAAAACTGCAGAGAAACACAAAACATAATCTAGCAAACACCCACATCCAGAATTGACATCATGGTAGTATAAAAGATACCTCAATTTTTTTTAATATAGAAAATAAAATGTTATAGATCAAGCTACAATCCTCTTCACTCTCTTTCCCAGTTCATCCCCTCTTCCACCTTCCCAAAGGTCTATTTTATAGTTTTTATATGTATCTATATCTCTGCATGAATAATATAAGGTATGATTTTGTGGATGTGTTTCTTAATTTAAATGGATCATTGTTGCCCTAGCTCAGTGGTCGGCAAACTGCGACTTGCAAGCCACATGCAGCTCTTTGGCCCCTTGAGTATGGCCCTTCCACATACCGACTTCTCTTTCACAAAATACTGGCTCTTCCACAAAATACCGACTTCTGTGCATGGGCCACGAAATTTCAGTTGCACTGTACGTGCACGCCCGCACGTGGTATTTTGTGGAAGAGCCACACTCAACGGGCCAAAGAGCTGCATGTGGCTCTCGAGCCGTGGTTTGCCGACCACAGCCCTAGGCTGCCGGGATTCTCTCATCATTGATGTTTCTATCTCTCTATCCCTCTCCCTTCCTCTCTGAAATCAATAAAAATATATTTAAGAAAAAATAAAATAAAATAAATAGATCATTGTCATAGATTATAAGTCATTCCACAACTTGCTTTTTTCACTCAATTTTATGATGTGTTTATGTTATTACATAGTTCTAAACTCATTCATTTAAACTATAGTGTCCATTTTATAGTGGTTTGACTTTTTCACACTTACTAACAATGATATATGTGTGTTCATATGTACATGTACAAGAATTTCTCTAAGATATGCACCTAGATATGGAATTGCTGGAGTGAAAGTAGGCAGCTTTTTTTTTTTTTTACTAGATACTACAAAGTGGCCATACCAATTTGCACTTCCAAAAGCAGTGGGTGAGAGGTCCTGTTTCCACTCATCCTCACCATCACTTAATATTATAAGACTTTTTAATCCTTACCAATCTGCTAGGTGAGAAATTGTATCTTGTTATTGTTTTTATTTCCCTGACAATTAGTGGGGTGCTGCTTCTCTTATAATTAAGCCAATATGTTTTTTAAACTTAATTTCTGGGGATGTTCAAAATCATCATTTTAAGCAATTTCATTTCTTTTAAGTTTCAACAGAAGCAAAGTAATACATTACAGTTTGATATTTACCAAGTACTTCTGCAAATTTACACCCCACAGGCAAGCCAGAGTTGACAGTTATGTGGATAAACAAGGGAAATGCTTAAAGTGAAATGGGAAGGACTTAAGTTAGCTATAAATAAGAGAGTTGGGCATCTTTTCCCTATAGCTAACTAGAATTATCCTATATAATAAAAGCCTAATATAAATGTCCAGTCGTCCAGTTGGCCATTCACCCAATCAAAGCATAATATGCTAATGATATGCTAAAGCTGCTCAACTGCTTGCTATGGCATGCACTGACCACCAGGGGGCAGACGCTCCAACCAGTAGGTTAGCTTGCTGCTGGGGTCCAGCCGATCAGGACTGAGCAAGACAGGCCAGACATGCCCTGGAGCCTTCCCGGCTGGCCAACCTCCCACGTGCCTCCCCAGCCTGATGGTGCACTGGTGGAGTCCCTCGGCCTGGCCTGCAACCTCTTGCAATCTGGGACCCCTCAGGGATGTCAGAGAGCCGGTTTTGGCCCAATGGCAGAACGACTGGTTGCTATGACATGCACTGACCACCAGGGGGAAGACGCTCAACACAGGAGCTGCCCCCTGGTGGTCTGTGCGCTCCCACAGGGGGAGTGCTTCCCAGCCAGAACCTAGCTCAACAGTGGTGGCGGGAGCCTCTCCCGCCTCTGCAGCAGTGCTAAGGATGTCCGACTGCTGGCTTAGGCCTGCTCCCTGTCAGTCGGAAATCCCCCGAGGGCTCCCTGACTGCGAGAGGGTGCAGGACAGGCTGAGGGCCCCTCCCCTCCCCCGAGTGCACAAATTTCATGCACCAGGCCTCTAGTATAAATATAGTAGAGTTGAATGTGTTAGTCATTAATCCTAATTCATTAGTATGGTAGTTTTCACTTTGTAAAGCATTTCCAAATGCTGGAAGATGTGAGAGTAATGTAGAACACTCTAAGCACAATCTATAGCTGATTCCCTTGTCCTTCATCCTCTGTTTCCTCCCAGGTTTGTCGTACTCTTCATGGATGACCTGGGCCATATATCCCAGTGGAGTGCCATCATGGCTGGAAGTCTCGCAGGCATGGTTTCCACCATTGTAACATATCCTACAGACCTCATCAAAACGCGCTTGATTGTGCAGAATATGCTGGAACCATCTTATAGGGGGATCCTCCATGCTTTTTCTACTGTTTATCAACAGGAAGGATTCCTGGCCCTTTATCGAGGAGTTTCCCTTACAGTTTTAGGTAAGATGGAAATTTTTTCCTTGTCCAAGGAAAGGCTGCATTCTTTGACATATATGAATAATTGTATGCCTTTGTAACCAGTTAATACATTTTATTGAGGTCAAGGTCATATGGATAAGTCCATATAGGGCCACTTAACTTCATTCTATTCCACAGCTGTATACCCCACTCCTAACTTTGACCTTTTGCATCCCAGAGAGGGGTGGATGACAGTGCATGGAGGTGCCTCTGAACAAACTGATAGGAAGACAATCCCACACACTCCTCATCCAACTATGGGAAGGAGTCTCAGTGTGCATACATGCAAATATGAGCACAACCAGGGTAGCAGTTGTAGCTTCTGTGGTCTTTGGAGCCTGTGCCAGGACTACACACACACAGGTCACCGGGACCCCCAGTGGCAAATACAGCAGACTTTTGCTCTTTGTCTGACCTTTGTTGCAACATTTGATGAGATTGATTACACCTCCTTCTGGAAACTTGGCTTCTAGGACCCCACTGTTTCCTGGATGTCTTTCTTATGTCTCTGGCAGCTTTCTTGTCTGACTCACCTGGCTCATCTGACACTGCTAGCCCCCTACATATCGCTATTCCCCCAGCTCCTTCCTTAACGTTTCCTTCACCCTCTATACCCTCCCTAGGTGGCCTCATCTAAGCTAGTAGCTTGAACAAGTATCATTATACTCTAATAACCCCTAATATAATCTCTATAGTAACATTTATTGATGCTTACTATGTGCCAGGCAGTGAGTTAAATGCTTTACATACAGATTCCCACTTAAGCCTCATTTTACAGATGAGGAAATAGATGCTTAGGGAAGCTAAGTTACCTGCCATGGTCACATGGATAGAAAGTGAAGGAATTTAGCTATATAACCCAGAGCCCTCTCTCTTAACCATTGGCTGCTACCAATTCCCAGTGGCAGTATGAATACCTGCTATTGGACACCCTCACCTGATGCTCCCTTGGCACATCAAACTCGTTAGTCTCACACCTGCTCTCCTCCTGTGTCCCCTAATGAATAAGACCTTTCTTTCACCCAGTGGCCTGAGACAGAAGAAACCTAGACTCACTTCAACTCTACCTCTCACTCCACTCTTGCTTTAGTCACCAAGAACTTTTGAAATGACCTCTTTGAACTCTCAAGTCTATCCCCCTTCTCCATCTCCATCTCCTCTGCCCTAGGTCGCACTCTCATCACCATATTTCCCATAGACACAAGAAGCACCTCTTATCTGCTCCCAGTCTTGGTTCTCTCCCACCCCAGTTTGCCCTGTGCACTGTAGCCAGGGTGTGGTGATCTCTCTAAATGCAAAATGATCATTTCACCACCCTCACTCCACTGCCCTCCTCAAAAGTCTTCACTACCTCCTGAACTACAGAGGAAAACCCCAGTTCTTTATAGCCTATCAGATCCTTCAGAACAGCTCATCTAACCTCCTCTCCTGTCACACCTCCACTTGCACTGATGCTCCAGCCGTACAGAAATACTTGCATTTCCTGGAAACATTTCTCCCTTTGTACATGCTGTTCCCTCTGCCTAGACTTCCTGTCTACTCTATGTCTGGTGAACTCCTATTCATTCCTCAAGACCCACTTGAGAAGTTCTCTCTTCTGTGAAATCCTTCTTGATTCCCCCAGGCAAAATTAACTCCTCTCCTTCCGTACCCAGCTCCAGCCCTGCCCTTACGGCACCTATGAGCTGTCTCACCACTAGATGGTGAGCTTCTCCAGGAATTAGCCTACTTACTCTTCTTTGTATTCCTGCACCTGGCCTAGGTCCCAGCACACCCGTTTCACACATGTTTTCTGAATGAAGGTAAATGGGGGGGGGGGGTTGGTACATCTTTTTGGAATTTGTTTTAAAATCCTCACTCGAGGATATGTTTATTGATTTTTAGAGAGGGAGAGAGAGAATGAGAGAGACATCAATATGAGAGAGAAACATCGATCGGTTGCCTCCAGTACATGCCCTGACTGGGGATTGAACCCACAACCTAGGTATGTGCCCTAACCGGGAATCAAACCAGTGATCTTTAGTGTACGGATGATGCTCCAGCCAACTGAGCTACCCAGCCAAGGCTGGTACATCATTTTAAATGTGTTTATTAAATATAACTATTATATTTTTTAAGGACAAGCAACCCCACTGTGTTATCCCCTCTTTTAAATCCCTTTTTGAGCGAGAAATTTAGTCACTCTGTAAAATTAAGATGGTTCCCAAAGTTCCTGGAAGTTTGTGAAATTGCCATCTACTGTATTCCTTGCTCACCATATTTTCCTAGGAAGGTGAGGATGCCATATAGTGCAGGGTGCCCACTGAACCCTGACATGGCCACATCATCTCCAAAGGCAAGGTCAAGTAACCTCCTTCTTTCCAGTTTTCACAGAATGTTTCCTTCTCAGCTGGAGACCACTCCCTCTTACCCTCCAAAAGTTGATTAAGAACAGGCACTAACTTTTTCTTATGAGAGTGATTTTCTTCCAACATTTTATTTTTTACAATTTCAAACACTCAGAAATGTTAAACGAATTAGAAATGCACATATACCCACCATCTAGATGCTATAATTAACATTTTGCTTTATTACATATCTGTCCATCTATCCATCCTTCTAGCCATTCATCAGTTCATCTTATATATTTTCGATGATTTGCATGTAAGTTGCAAACATCAGATGCACTTCACCCCTCAACCCTTTGATACTTGTATCATAAACTAGATTAGACTTCAATATTTGTAAATGTTTTTTAAAATATGTTTTTATTGATTTTTAGAGAGAGAGGGAGAGGGATACAGACATCCATTGGCTGCCCCCTGCATGCCCTCCCCCTGGGAATCAAGCCCACAACCCAGGCATGTGTCCTGACCAGGAATCGAACCGGTGACCTCTTGGTTCATAGGTTGACGCTCAACCAACTGAGTACCACCAGCTGGGCTGTTTATTACTTTTTAAAGTAAAATTTACATACAGTAAAGTGCGCAAACCTTTTGCAAACCATGTGATGCATTTTGACAAATGACACAACCCCTATGAAAATAGAGCACATTATCATCACCAAAGAAAGTTCCTTCCTGGTGCTAGGGTTGGAATGGTCTTAACAAGCCCAGAGAGGGTCCTGTTTACTTGCCCCGGATGCCCCACAGGTATTTATGTTCCCAAGCTGGTGTTTGCCTAGCCCTCAGCAGCCTCTTCCTGGCCTTGTTTTGCAGGTGCTCTCCCTTTCTCTGCTGGCTCTCTTCTAGTTTACATGAATCTGGAGAAAATCTGGAATGGACCCCGAGATCGCTTCTCTCTCCTCCAGAACTTTGCCAACATCTGCCTGGCTGCTGCGGTGACCCAGACCCTCTCCTTTCCCTTTGATACAGTGAAGAGGAAGATGCAGGTGAGGAGTGATGTTGGAGCGGGGTAGTGAGGAGATTCCTTAAAGTGTTGGTGGGTTGGTAACAACAGCAGAGAACACTGACCCTGAGCAATGCCAGGATTCCAAGGGGATCATGACTATTCACACAAATACTATGCAAACCCCCACTCCGGGCATTTCTGCTGCTAACCTCAGGGCTATTGGCTCCAGCCCAAGCTGCTATTTCTTTCACATACTCTGCTTTTTTAGGACTTTTTAGCCCTTCCAGATGAGGCCCACTTTTCTTTCCTCTCTTTCCCATAGTTGCCACCAAAGCATAGTTGACATCAAAGCAGCCTCCTAGCTCCCTCTCCCTGGGCCTCCACAGTGAGAGGAGGGCACTCTTACTTTCGTAGCCATCCCTTACCTCTGTGAAACAAACTGGAAAGAACCAAAATAAGCCAGGAGCTATTTGATAGCCAAGCTCCAATAGTCCCTTACTCCCTTGCTAAGGAAGTAAGTACATTTGAAATGGGTCAGTGTCTTAGTGGGAGTCGCCCTGCGTTTTCCTAATTGTTGCCTGGGAAACTCACATTTTCTCTATTAGCTACAGAGGCAAAAGCATGGTGGTATCCAAGGTCCCAAAGTGAGTAACTGGCTTAGCCTAGATTCAGTCAATTTTGATTTAAAAAATCAGCGGGCCAAGTAAGGTTGGGGGTTACAAGCAAGTCTGAGGGCGGGCTCAGAATCAACAACTCTGAGGTTTTGTATCTGCCTTTAACTCAACTCCAGTCCACAGGCTTGCCTGCCTTCCTGACCTCTTCTGGGCAAATCTTTTTTTTTAAGGCCTCAGTTCCCACAGAGAATAGGGTTCCAGGAGGTAGGAAGGCTCCTCTTCCATCCCTGATCTCTTTTTGTTTCTTTTTTGTTGTTGTTAATCCTCACCCGAGGATATTTTTCCATTGATTTTTAGAGAGAGTGGAAGGGAGAGGGAAAGACAGAGAGAAACATCGATGTGAGAGAAACACATTGATTGGTTACCTCCTTCACAAGCCCTGACTAGGGCCTGGGCCCGGGAGGAGCCTACAACAGAGGTATGTGCCCTTGACTGGAATCGAACCTGGGACCCTTTGGTCTGCAGGCTGATGCTCTATCCACTGAGCAAACTGGCTAGGGCACAAATCTTGATTTATATAATTGATATATGTTCCTGAGGAGCTGCTTGCATATTAAATTGGGTTCAGTTGAATCCAGTTTTAAATATCAGTCCCAGCTGAGTTTGTTTTTCCACCTGTCTGTACCTTGTCCCTCCGAAGTCTCAGTGGCCCCCGGCTTCCCTCCATAGCTTTCTTGGCTGAGCTGGTCTCCACTTACCTCAGCACTAAAAAGCCTGAAGGTACTTATCTCAACCTCTAAAGAAAAGATGCCTTCAGAATAATACACATCATGATGACACCCAATTCTGCTGCTCCAGTCCATCAAACCTTTCATCTCTCTGGGTTGTGATCCTTTCCTGTCCTTTGTCAAAACAAAGAAATAATTGTCGCCGAAGCCGGTTTGGCTCGGTGGATGGAGCATCGGCCTGCGGACTGAAGGGTCCCAGGTTCGATTCCGGTCAAGGGCATGTACCTGGGTTGCGGGCACATCCCCAGTGGGAGATGTGCAGGAGGCAGCTGATCGATGTTTCTCTCTCATCGATGTTTCTGGCTCTCTGTCTCTCTCCCTTCCTCTCTGTAGGAAATCAATAAAATATATTTAAAAAAAATAATTGTCACATTATTGTAATGGTAGTGTAGGTGCAAGTTTAGAGCCTGCTCACTGCGTGCTTATTTGTAAACCATTATTCCTAATTTTAAAAGGAATGCGTATACACTTAAAAGGGGTTAAAATGGTCAATTTTATGTTATCTGCTTTGTACAGATTATAGAAAAGTATAAAAAAACAATAATTACTTATAAGCCCAATACCTATGCAGTGTAATGATTAATAGTTTTTCTTTTATGTATATTTGTATGTGTGCGCACGTGTATATATGTGTGAGCATAAATATATATAATACATGTATATGGAACGGTTTTTTTTACAAAATTATGTTCCTACTGTATATAAAAATTAGTATCCTGCTTTTTCCACTTATTATATAATGGGTATTGCCCCAGGTCATCAAATATTGAGAATATCTTTTTAAATTATCTCAGAATATTCCACCATATGGATGTGTTATAAATGTTTTAATATATTTTTATTGATTTCAGAAAAGGGAGAGGGAGAGAGATTGAAACAACAATGATGAGAGAAAATCATTGATCAGCTGCCTCCTCCACACCCCTCACTAGGGACCAAGCCCGAAACCCAGGCTTGTGCCCTGACCAGGAATCAAACCATAACCTCCTGGTTCACAGGTCGACACTCAACCACTGAGCAACACCAGCCGGGTCATAAATATTTTTTAAAACAACAAAGATTTATTCTCAAAGTTCTGGAGGCTGGAAGTTTAATATCAAGGTGTTGGCAGGGCCAGGCCCCTTTTGAGTGCTCTAGGGGAGAATCCTTCCTGTCTTCCAGCTTCTGGTGGTCCTGACAATTCCTTGGTTTGTAGCAACATAACTTCAATCTCTGCCTCCATCATGCCATAAATAACAATTTCTCGCCCTGGCCAGTGTGGTTAAGTGGTTAAGAGTGTTGGCCCCTGCACCAAAGGGTCTTGGGTTTGATTCCCGGTTAAGGACACCTATCTGGGTTGCAGATTCAATCCCCGGCCCTGTGCTGGAAAAAACCAATTGATGTGCCTCTCTCCTCTCTCTCTCTCTCTCTCTCTCTCTCTCCCTCCCTCCCTCCCTTCTATTCTCTCTAAAGATCAGTGGGAAAATATCCTCGGGCGAGGATTAACAAAAAAACACAATTTCTCGGTTTTTTAATATTTAGTCTGTTTCTGATTCTCCAGTATGATAACATTGCAGTGAAAACCATTGTATTTTTTCACATTTGTGATGGCACCCTTCAGCTATGTTCCTAGAAATCGACTTACAGGTTACAAGATAAAAATAATTCTAAGGTTCTTAATGGAGTTTGTTTCCTAGAAAGGTTATAAGTTTACACTTGCACCAGCAGTAAGAGTGGTTCATCTCCACTCTCATTATTAACAGGAATTTTGTCACTTTCTAATTCCTTGTGAACCTAATAGCTGACAAATGCTATCATTGTTTCAATTTGAATTTCATCTATTATAAGCAAATTGCACATTTTTCATATATCAATTGACCCTTTGTATTTCTTTTGTAAATTTTCTGTTTATGTCCTTCACCTATTTTTCTAGGATAGCCAGCTTTTTCTGCTGATTGGTAAAAAGTCTTTATATGTTAAAGATATCAACCCTTTGCCATACATTACACATATTTTTCCCAGTTCAACATTTGGCTTCTGATGCTGTTTATGCACTGTTGTTGTACATATTTTTAGATTTTTATGCAATTATATCTATTACTGGTTTTTGTTTCTAACTTTACTTTTCTGTGCAAAAGGCCTACCCCATCCCATAATCATATGACTATTCATTTATATATAGTTCTTTAAATAATTTTTTTATAATTTTTGCATTTAATACTAATATATTTTGGATTTACCTGGGATATGATATGTGCAGTAATCATTTGACTTTTACAAAGATAGTTTACCAATTGTTTAAGGATATGTCAACCTAAAGATAAAAAGGCCTTTCACAGTGAGAGACAAGAATAACTTATTTGAGGTCAAAGAATAACTATTTGGGAAGCACTGATTCAGGTAGAAGCCTGAATAGTGTTCTGATTGAGAGGCAAAGGCAGTGGATATTTGTGAGAAAGGAAAGGGGAACAATTACATCAATAGAAGGAAAGCATTTGTATTGGTGCAGATAACATAATTCTAAACAATGTTTTTAGTCCTGGCTGGTGTTGCTCAGTTGGTTGAGCATCGTCCTGTGCACCAAAAGGTCAAAGGTTCAATTCCTAGTCAGGGCACATACCCAGGTTGCAGATTCAATTCCTGGTTGGGGCTAGTGCGGGAGGCCACCAATCAATGTTTTTCTCTTCTTTCTCCCTGTCCCTTTCGCTCTATAAAATCGGTTTAAAAAAAAAAAAACACCACATATTTTTTAATTTAAAAAAACACACACAATGTTTTAGCTTGGCCTGTGTGGCTCAGTGGTTGAGCATCGACCTATAAACCAGGAGGTCATGGTTTGATTCCCAGTCAGAGCACATGCCCGGATTGGGGGCTCAATTCCCAATCCCTGGTGTGGGGTGTGCAGGAGGCAGCCAATCAATGATTCTCTCTCATCATTGATGTTTCTATCTCTCTCCCCCTCTCCCTTCCTCTCTGAAATCAATAAAAACATATTTTTTAAATGTTTTTAATTTTCAGTCCAGTAGTCATCAGTCCTGTAATCATGATATCTGCTTTCTTGTTATCTTTGCAAACAGTTCTTTGGGGCACAAGTTTGTGTAGGCCCAGCCCAAAGGTTATTTTGTCCTGTTTAAACATTTCAGGGCTTGAGGTGTAAGATGTGCAAAGCAGTTTTTCTGACATGGCAGCTCCAGCTCCATTTTAAAGTGGCTCCATTTATGTTATTTTTCTTAATATACCATTTTTGGAATAATCATTTCTCCCTCTATTCTGTGATGCAGCTTTTACCATATCCTAGATGTTTACATATTCTAGGATCTATCCTGGGCTGTGTATCCTGTTTTGTTCATCTGTCAGTCTGTTCTTGTGCCCTATTGCAATTCCTCTAGCTCTATAATGCCTTTTACTATGTGGCATGGCATCTCTCTCCTCATTGCTCTTCATTTCAAAATTTCCTTGATTATTCTCAGTCATTTGTTTCCCCTGATGAACTTCAGAATTACCTTGTGATTATGAATGGAATATGTTAAACCTATAAGCTTGAATAATTCATGTCAGAGATTCTATCTTTTACCTAGGAATGTCATATATCTCTTTTAGTTTCAGTCTTTTTTCTTTAGATTGAACCATATGAAATTGCCAATATTCTACCTTTTTTG